CTGCAGGAACTCACCCACTGCATCCACAGGGAGAGGAGATTGCCTGGAGACAGCTGGGAACTCCCAAAGGGAGGGAATATTCCTCCAAAGCACCCCCTTCCTACTGACACTCTCTCTGAGTGCAAGGTTCCAGAGAAAAGCCCGGTTCCAGCCCTGCTGCTGGTGCCACTGCTCCCTGTGCCTGTCACATCTCTGCTTCTCCTCTGCTTTGTCCCTCGTTCTCCTGCATCCTGAAAACGACGTCTGAGCCCCAGCAGCAATTCCCAGCAGAGGGAGAAATCCCTGTGTACAGCCGTTCAGGGTAAGGGATCCTCCACGGCCACTCTGCAGCTCAGATAACCGATGGGATGTGGCAGTTGCCATGGCAACGCTGGCGCTGATAGCATTGGAAAGCAGAGGGAGTCCTTTCACCAGGAGTTACTCCTGCCCCGTGGGAACTCAACAATTAAAGGAGACTTTAAAATTTATTTACCTATGAATGGGTACAATGAAAATCCCCAGCTGCTTTTATGGGATTTCTTTGCAGGTTAGAGGAAGAACTATCAGCATAAAGAAACAGCCTACAGGGAAAGCAGAACATCCCAGGAGGAGTTTGCAGGATCCATGGCATGGATGGGAAGTTTGGGAAGGGGGAGCAGGAATGGCACATTTGGGGCTCTGTGTGTGCAGCAAAGTGTGAATTCCCTGGGGATTTGATGGCTCACCTTCCAGTGGGGGCATCTTCCATTTAGCAAAGCTGTTACCAACAGGAAATTATTCCCTGGCCCAGAAAAATATTTTTTAATTAGGAGCCAAGCATTCCAGGTATTGGCTTGGGTTTGATGATGTACAATTCTTGCATCACGGTCTGTTTTGTAGGGTGTGGCTGGAGACAAAGAGATTTTGTTCTATATCTTTCACATTAAGTCAGAAGAAAAGAATTGTTGCAGTATGAGCATTTCAACAACAGAAGCACTTGAATGGGTTCCACTACATTTTAAGGATCTGATGAAAAGTGTGGGCAAGAATTACATCCACTGGTTCCTGGATCTGCATGTGCCAGAGCAGTTTCAGGGTGGAGAGAGGAGAGGGGTGATCTAATGATAAGAAATTGTCACTGCACACTCAACAGGGACAGATGACACAGCCAGTGACTCTGAAAATGCATCTTGCCAAATTGCAGCAAGAAGAATGAAGTTCCCAGTCTTCATCAATACTTGCAGATGATTTCTCCAGGTAGATAAATTGCTTGCAAAAAACATCTTGAATTTATCAACTTCTCCCCCGTACACCCACTCCCAACTTGTTCTGTTAAAGACAAGTACTGAGTTTAATTATTCCAACTCTGAAAACATCAACTTTCTAAAGAAACTGATCCATGAAAAGGAAAGAACTGTAGAAGACTTGAGACGTCAGATAACTATGGGAGGTAACTATCACCCAGCTAACAATAAATCATTACCTTCCTGAAAATATTTAATAGATTTGTGGCAGTGGTGAGGAAGGGCTCAGACTGGTGTAACAAAGAGACCAGTTTGTGTAAAACCAGAAAGGGGCCGGCAGTTCCAGGTGTCCAATTCTCTGTAGGCCTACATAGAAAGGCCACTCCAGCACCTCTTCTGGTGCTATCCAAATAAATCAGTGCTGCTGGATGATTTCTGGGCTATCTGGGCTGGTTGGAAGAGAAAAGGAGTCAGTGAAAACCCTGTTCTCCAGAAGTAACAAGACTTCATTTGGTGGGGAATCTGCCTAAAAAGCAAAAGGGATTCAATCTCTTTTCAGCACTGACAGAAATAAGGGCAGAATGATTACTCACATATGAGAGACTGTTCTTTAAAAAAGTACAGTGGGGTATCACTGGTGAGAAGGAGCAGGAAGCCTCAGATGCAGAGGGTTAGAGCTGCCACCCCACAGAGGAATCAGAGCCACATTTACAAATCCTCTCTAAGGCACCTCAGTGTTGTCACAGGATGGCAAAGCCCAGGAACAGGAGATCCCTTCAAAGCACTGCAAATGAAAGGGAAATAGCAGCCACCCTTCCCCCTCAGCCTGGGAAACCTCAGCTGCTGCAGAACAAGATCTCTGCAGCTCAAAAACCTCCTAGAGGAACACACTCCAAAGGTAGAAGCAGTCTGGAGAAGGCAAGGTCTATAAATCACTGCCTGTCAGCTTAGAAAAATGTTCCCTTTGCTTCTCTGTGGAGGAGTAAAATGAGAAAAGAAATTTCTTTTCTGTATGGATGGTTCAACCATAAGGTTATTTTAACATCATTTTTTTGTAACCCATCTACACACAACTATTTAAACAGTTTTTTTTAAAGGAGGTATGGGCTGACTCATGCAGCTGAAGAATCAGCCTAATTGGTCAAACTTCCAGGACAGTGTGTGCTGAGCTGGAGAGAATCATAATCTCATCTATTAGGGGATGTGACAAGAGGCAGGAGCTATCTCAGATTCCTGGAAGAGCTGGTGTGAAATAAGAACCGTTGCCTAGGGACAGTCTCTTCTTTATGATAATTAAAGAGCTCAGATCTGGGCTATTCTGCATGGATGAAAAATATGCAAGCATAAGCTTAAATTCTGGCTTGGGCTTGTTCATGTGAGAAAGTTGTCTAATAATTCATTAGTTTCTTCAATAAAAGATACCCAAAAGGCAGGGAAAAGGGCATCTGTGGACTTGGCTGGCAGGTTCACGTGGTCTCAAAACTTCTTCCAGATGTCTTGGTCTTCTGTAGCACAAAACCAGAGAACTGCAGCCTCTTTTCCCAGGCAGCCAGCCCCAGGACAGGAGGAAATGGCCTCAGGCTGGACAGCAGCAGGAATTTCTCCATGGAAAGGGTGCTCAGGCACTGGTAGGGGCTGCCCTGGAGGTGTTCAAGGAATTCCTGGAGGTGGCACTCAGTGCTCTGGGCTGGGGACAAGGTGGGGATTGGTCACAGCTTAGACTCGATGGTCTTGGAGAGGTTTTCCACCCTCAAAAGGGCAAAAGAGAATATGATGATCACAGTTATATCATCTTTTTTAAAGCTTTTAAAAATGTAGCCAAACTGAGATCATAAAAGTTAAGTATTTACTGTGATTTGCTCTTACAAAAAAAAAACAAATGTAAGATGATTTCATCAGTACCAGATAATAGGGCAGCTTATAACCAGAGGGCAGGGTTTTTAATAACTTCACTAAAAATATGCACTGAGACAAAAATGTGGTGCAATAAAAAGTACAAAAGGTAATAAATATTAGCTATTATCTCAGCTCATTTTGTCAGGAAATAATACTACAAATTTAATGGGATACATGGAAGCCTTATGAAAAAAGCAGGCAGGGAGAGGCTTAGACTCTTATCCAATATTAGAGCAGAGGCTGCCTGATGAATAAGTAGACATTGAAGAGCAGAGAATGAACATCATATGGATTTTAGGGAAAGGAAATAGCTCAAAAATGAAACTGTGATGCTGCCAGGCTCTATAGGAAGAGGCCCAGCTCCCACCTCTGCCAGGGCTCTCAGCTGATGCTGTGAAATGGGAAAACTGCACCAAAAACAGGATGGGAAGAGGAAAAATGCATGAAAGGAAAGGTTTGAATGCAACAGCAAGTTGGGAATTTGAATAGGAAAAACAAGATGCTCAGTAGAAGGAGCAGATGAAATAGGATTTATCCATGAGCTATAGGTGTGCAAGGAGAAGTTCTGGAGTGCTTTTTTAAAATAACAAAGCCAGATCTTTGCTGGTTTTACTGCGCCTTTCACACCCCTCAGGGCTGCAGGATTGAGTGTTAAATACCCAGTGAGGCACCAGCATTTACAACACCAACAAGGCCATTTACTGCGGGTTAAAGCCAACACATCAGTCCAGGAGACTCTCAATTTATTGTTGGTTCTCAGGCACATCGTGTCCGGTTCTGATTTGTGTGGGACACTGGAAATGTCTCCTGTGGCTTCCGAGACTGGGATTTAACCGTGGTTAATTCACTTTACTCTGGTACAATAGAGAGTTGCCACTGGTGGTAAACATTTACTACACACAAGAAGCTCAGGGAAGAATTCAGTAAGTACCAACAGCAGGTAAGAAATTTTAGATCAAACTGTGATGTCCATGGAAAAATAAAACAGCCAAGAACCATAAACATTTATTCCCACAACTCTTAAAGAGTAAATGATGCTTTGGAAGGAGCAGGAATGTCACTGGGCACTGCTCACTTTCTCTGTTTTCTACTCAAAATCATTGATATTTCCTCTAACTTTGCAAATGAGCAATCAGATCTCCCATTTCTATCACTGCCATGCTCTGTGGTTTAGAAAAAGCACCAGGTCTTCCCAGTGCTAAGGGAGGAAAAACTGGCAGCTACACATTTGGAGTCTAATTTTAGGAGGAACTGAGCCATTCTAATGTGCTGCAGTCAACAGGAACCGGTGGCACTCAATAATTCATGAGTTTCTTTCCATGTTTGAGTAGAGCCTGTTGAAAATTTCCTAAGGAAACATTTTCCATCAGAAAATTCCAATTCCTGTGCAGCAAAACTGCTTACAGGACAGGATATGCTTGGATACTTCTCTAATACTTTTTTTCCTATGCATTTTGAAGTAGTTTTTAATCTGTAGTAATATAACAATTATACCAAAGTATTTTAAATATGAAAAGGGTTGACTGGCTATGAGACAAAAGGAATTTTAAAAGGCTAAACAAAATGTTTCAACCAATCTTCACTTGGATTTTTAAAAATTATTTTTAAACACCAGTGTTTGACAAGAAAAAGGATTCAAACTTGGTTTATTTTCAGTTTGGGCTGGAATACATTTTCAGCATTTTCTTGGGAAAGAAAAGCCTTTTCTGCTTGAGATGTAGCTAAGAAGTTATTTTCATGCCTGTCCTAAAAAAACTCTTTACACTCATGCAGATAAACCTCTCTCTGACCCTGGTGATGAGTGAAGTGTTAAATTTGTTACGTCTTTCCTGTCACTTTGATTCAGTTATTTTAAAATGAATGGAATTTGCATCGGAAGGCAGCAGAACAACCATTTCTTACCTTTAGTCTTTCTGTTACCCCATCAGTGAAACTGACTGTGAATTCAGCAATTTTGGGCACTCTGAGTTTTCCTTTGTTCTTCTGGTCAGGCTGATATTCTGTTCTTGTTTTCACAATTACCTGGAAGATAACAACACTTTTGAGGCTTCTGCCCACAGCAGAGATTTTTTAGTTGTTATCAAAGCTTTTCTATATAAACCATCCCCTGGACCTACACAAGCACCATAAATGAACACAAGCCATCACCCCCTCAGGAATAAGAGAGGCAGATAAATCAGCAGATATACAGAACTAGGACAGTGAGCTTATCACACTGAGCCTTAAAATAGCTGACAGCAAAATGTGTGACACCCACTTTGGTTCAGGAGTATTTAATTTTTATATCATGCTCAACAGGCAGAAGAACAGCCCATCCTAAAGCAGAGCCTCACTAATTAAAAGCTCTGTCCAAACAAGTTCTGCTGAAGCCAATTTAAATTTAGGCCATTTGGTGTCTCATTCATTTAGGCTCCAGATTATCAATATTTATCTTGTATTATCACCTTGGCTTTTCCCCTAAGATCTGTGTCTGATTAATCCAGGTCCTACTAATCTTACAAAATGAGGTGCTTTACACCAGTGCAGAAGACCCTTCCACTTTCTGGCTCTCCATTCTGAGCTGCAGCCTGGTGGAAATGAAAAACTCCAGGAGTGGAGAGGCTGCTCCAGATGAGAGTGACAAGAGTGATCCTAAAGCTCTTAGTCAGAAACAAAACCGTGGTGAAGGATTGGAACAGATTAAGTGATGCACAAGGCTGAGTTCCCAGCTAATCAAGGACTTATTTCCAAATGGAGACAGCAAAGTCTGCTTTGGACCAAAGAGAACCCCAGGTATTTAATCCTCCTGCATTTAAAGCATGTGGAAATCAGAGCCAGAGAAAAGCACTGAGGAGTTATAAGCCAATTTTCTGGATTCAAATGCAAATCATTAAAGACTGATGAATATTTACATCCTCCAGCAATCCTTCTCAATAGTATTTATTACAGGAGCATTTGCAATATTAATACTTGGGGAGAAGAAGGGACAAAAAGCCTCACAAATACGTTTCTATGAGCAGCTGGGAGCTCAGGATTTGTGATGACACAATGTTAGAGTTCTAGATACTAAAAAATTGAAACTTTCTATACTGACAGACTCTGACTCCCAAGAGAACATTACATTAACCTGAGGCCGTAAAAAAACTTCCAAAATTGATTGATAACACTAAGATTACAAGTGTGTAGTTAATTAAAAGTGTGTAATACCACAAGGTGAAAAACTTAGAACTTGACATTTTAGAATATAGTAATATAAATTGTTAAAAATAGGTTAGAAGCTGTTGTAAAATAGTTGATAGATTGTTAACATATATGAAACAAGATAGAAATTTTAGGGTGGAGGCAAGTTGTTCTTCTTTACATTCTTCTTCCTTCTTCTTCATAAGTTTAATTATTATTTTGTAATTAGACAGAAAAGTCCGCACTGCAGACTTCAAGTAATTAGTTATTGAGTTAAAAGAAAAAATAATTTGTGTCATTTCTTAATTAGATAGTTCAGCCTTAAAAAACCCTATAACAAAAAACAGTTAATCATTTTATACCTTATTAAAGAAAAATTACAACAACACAATACAGAAGAAGGGAAATGACCAACAGGGACAAGCTTGGGCAGGTTTGGGGTAAATCCTGACCCTGCTCTGACCCCACTGTTGAATCAAAGCCCATTTTGCCCACCTTGCCCAGCACATTGTGGGCACAATAAAGCAAAGCTCCCTCTGCAGCCAGGACAAAGTGGCCCAGGTCAGCTCTGAGCTCCAAACAAGCAGTGACCTCATTTTCTCCCTGCAGAGGAGGCAAAAGCACCCAGTGCAGCTGGCCAGCCTTCAGTCTTCTCCCTGGCCTTTTGTACACCCAGTGCAGTAAATTATAGAGCAGCAGCCAGCAGCACCTGCCAGCCAGTGTTTAGAAATTGCTCTCTTTCTGTTTTCAGACAATATCCAATTCTCCCAAATTCATGCTTCCTGCTTGGTATAAATCTTAGCAGCAGACAATTTTTAAAATTTATCTGAGAGCTTTACCACAAACTGTAATGCTGGGTCTTAATGAAAGACCGTGAAAGCAGAATATAAAAAAAACCCAACAAATTAAAACTTTCCGTGTTTCTAGCTATAATTAATTTTCTTCATCATCAACACCAATTTTGTTATGGCTATTTTTTAACTGTTCCTTTGCACCAATAAGCAGGAAAGTTTGAATCATGCTGTCTGCAGGGATAGCGTCTGAAAATGAACCCACACAGCCCTTCCTTCACCAGGCATCAGATTCAGGTCCTGCAGCAATTCTATCACATCTGGGAATAAATAAGCAAGCTCAGGCCCCAGCCAGATCAGAAGGTACTTGAAACGCAATTTGCTGACTGTGCCAGCAGTGAAATGAGTGTGCACAGAGCCAGAGTCACCCTGGGCAGTGTTTTGCAAAGGTATCAAAAAGCTTTGGTAGAAGAGGGAAGAGGCACCTTTGCTAAAGGGTTTTTAGCAGGCAAAAGTTAAAAACCTGCTCTCCAGAAGTGTCTTTGTCAGACACCCGCTGGAATTACTCAGCAGCAGAAAGGGCAGGCAGTGAAGTCTCCTTTTTAAAGGAGAGCACAGAAATCAAATGACAAAGGTCAAACAGAAAACTGAAAACCTGCAGTGGGGGGACCATTCAATATCGTGGCAGCAACGATAAAAATGCAGTTTTGCTGAGGACATGGGGTGTGCATTGAGAAGAACAGAGCTCCTTCTTGCTCAGTCCCCCACAGGCTAAAAAAATCAGCCTGAGCATGGATTCCACTCTTGCAGAGTTAAAAGTGCAAATTTAGAAAAGGAATAATCAATCTTCTAAAGAAATCTTTCTGCATTTTTAGCTTTTTTTTTTTTTTTTTTTTTTTTTTTTTTTTTCTGTTTTCATTCTCCAGCCTTCTGATTTGAGTTGGGTGGGAAAGATTTGCCTTCCCCCATTCCCTGCCATCACTCCTTTTCCACCTTCTTTTTCCATTTTGTCAGCGAGAAAAAAAAAAAAATAAAAATTCCTGGCAGTGAAATCTTCCAGAAATTCTACCCAAATTGCTGCTGAAGGTGGAGCAATAAAAGCCTCCTGACTCCGCAGTCGGGGCAATGATCAGCGCTCGTTCATCAGCGGCTGCCCCCAGCAGCTGCAGCCAGCCCGGATCCCACTGCTCCCGTGCAAACCAGGAACATCCATCTCACAGCACGACAGCTTTCCTGGGAGAGCTGCTGCCCTTCATGACAGCACCAGAATCACCCCCAGCCCCTCTCCTTGGCTGTTCCGCAGCGGTGCTGGCTTGGGAATTGCTCTGGATTGAAATCAGGGAAAGGGACGGGAAAATTGGGGTCCTGGAGAGCTGCAATTCCAAGGAAACTGAAGGGAAAGAAATGCCATCTCCTTCCCTCCTCTGGGATGTTGGAAAAGAGCTGCTCTAAGGGGGAGCTTCCAGATGGATTTAGCTCAGGGAATCTCCCTGCAGATTATCTTGCTCCTGTGATCTGTTCTTAAAGTTTTCACACCATTTCCCAGAGATACAGCACCTTCAAGTAGCAGGAAGGGAGCTGTTCTTGCATATGCAGTAAAGGGGACACCAATAAATTACCTGGGACTTTCTTCATTTTACATCCAAAATAAAGCTGTTTGTTGAAAGTTGCTTCCTGGATGGGGTTTGCAGATTGTGAGAATATGAGCAGAGAGAAAAGGGTTATGGACCAGCAAAAAGTCACATCTAATTATGGAAACCCTCACTGCAGTCCTTGCAGCTTCCTCCTTAACCAGGTTTGTTTAGAATTTGAGCTAATTAACCACCAATTCAGCAAAGCACTTAAGCATGCAAGTAGTCCTATTAACATCAGCAGGATGAGCCGGATATTTCAAGTTAAGTGTGCATTTAGGGCTTTGGCCTATCGAGCTGGCTTCAGGCTCCTTCCCACAGCCACTTCCAACAGGGTGCCTGGGGATCTTGGGGAATTCGTCATCAATTGCTCAGGGGCTCTGCACACAGCACGACCCCAGCATCCCATATTACTCATGGAGGAGTAGGGAAAAAAGACAAAAAAAAAGAATCTCTGTAATGTGCTGAGTCCCACTTGGTGGCTGAGTCAGGAGTTCACACCAGGCTTGGTTCACTGCTCACAATGCACTGTTTTCTCAGACCTTCATTAGTGAGAGAGAATGGCAGCTCCAGCAGATTCTCCATACAAATGCGACATTTTTGGGATTAGGGGCTAGCAAAGGATGATGGGGTGGGAAGGCAGTCAGACAACCTATGGAAAATGGCAGCTCTCTGCAGAATTGTCCCCCTCAGCCATCCCAGGTCAGCAGATGCAGCAACATTCCATGACTGGAAAGGTTTTGACATTCTGTTCCCTACCTTGGATCTTCTGGTTCCTCATTCCAGTCCCTCAAACACTTCTCAAGAGCTCAGAGCAGCCTGCAGGGAATGGCCTGGAAATTGTGAAACCCCACCACAACAGGACCACGAGCCACATCCATCACCCTGCTCCACACAAGATGTTTCTAATGATGCTGTTTGCTAATACATTTATTGAGTTCCAAACCTAAATGCTCTTATTATTCCAGGCTTAATTCCAGTGCCATGGCTGGGATCAATAGGAAATCTTTCCTCAGCTTTAATGGATGCAGGACCATGCACCCTCTCTGTAGTGATGCTTTGGAAAATTATAGGTGTGCTGAGGTGAGAAACAACAGATGAGAGTCTGCCTACACCCGCAGGAAATCCATCATTGACAACCTTGAGAAGATAAACAGTGGGAGAGTGCTGGGAAATCCAGGGATTTGGGCTGCTGAAAGGGAAAAGAAAGCAAGCTTCTAACCAAGTGGGCTATATTAAAAGCATTTGCTGTGAGGAGGAAGGAGCAGAGTAGATGTGAAATGTGACAAATTGAAAAATATCCCATTAAGCATGGAACCTTGAAAAGGATTTTCCAGCAAAGGGATGAAGTAAGTGTTTCAGAAAATGAACTGATATGAATTCTGAGCCTTGTCTCCAACTGGCTAAATGTAACATCATTTATTGCCACTTTATATTTGCA